GATGTGATGATCTATCCTGGAGATTGTTCCATGTGCACTTGAGAAGAAAGTGTAATCTGCTGTTTTTGGATGGAACGTCCTATAAATATCAATTAAATCTGTCTGGTCTGTTGTGTCATTTAAAACATGTGTTTCCTTATTAATTTCCTGTTTGGATGATCTGTCCATTGGTGTAAGTGAAGTGTTAAAGTCCCCCACTATTATGTTACTGTTGATTTCCTCTTTTATAGCTGTTAGCAGTTGCCTTATGTATTGAGGTGTTCCTGTGTTAGGTGCATATATATTTATAATTGTTATATCTTCTTCTTGGATTGATCCCTTGATCGTTATGTAGTGTCCTTCCTCGTCTCTTGTAACATTCTTTATTTTAAAGTCTATTTTATCTGATATGAGTATTGCCACTCCAGCTTTCTTTTGATTTCCTTTTGCATGGAATATCTTTTTCCATTCCCTCACTTTCAGTCTGTATGTGTCCCTAGGTCTGAAGTGAGTCTCTTGTAGACAGCATATATATGGGTCTTTTTTTTGTATCCATTCAGCAAGCCTGTGTCTTTTGGTTGGAGCATTTAATCACATTTAAGGTAATCATCGATATGTATGTTCCTATGACCATTTTCTTAATTGTTATGGGTTTGTGTTTGTAGGTCCTTTTCTTCTGTTGTGTTTCCCACTTAGAGAAGTTGCTTCAGCATTTGTTGTAGAGCTGGTTTGGTGGTGCTGAATTCTCTTAGCTTTTGCTTGTCTGTAAAGCTTTTGATTTCTCCATCGAATCTGAATGAGATCCTTGCTGGGTAGAGTAATCTTGGTTGTAGGTTCTTCTCTTTCGTCACTTTAAATATGTCATGGCACTCCCTTCTGGCTCATAGAGTTTCTGCTGAGAAATCACCTGTTAACCTTACGGAGTTCCCTTGTATACTATTTGTCATTTTTCCCTTGTTGCTTTCAGTAACTTTTCTTTGTGTTTAATTTTTGCCGGTTTGATTACTATGTATCTCGGCATGTTTATCCTTGGCTTTATCCTGCCTGGGAGTCTCCGTGCTCCCTGGACTTGGGTGGCTATTTGCTTTCCCGGGTTAGGGAAGTTTTCGACTATAATCTCTTCAAATATTTTCTCGGGTCCTTTTTCTGTCTCTTCTCCTTCTGGGACGCCTATAATGCGAATGTTGTTCCATTTAATGTTGTCCCAGAGGTCTCTTAGGCTGTCTTCATTTCCTTTCATTCTTTTTTCTTTATTCTGTTCCAGAGCAATGAATTCCACCATTCTGTCTTCCAGGTCACTTATCTGTTCTTCCGCCTCGATTATTCTGCTATTGATTTCTTCTCGTGTATTTTTCATTTCAATTATTGTATTGTTCATCTCTGTTTGTTCTTTAGTTCTTCTAGGTCTTTGTTAAACATTTCTTGCATCTTTTCGATCTTTGCCTCCATTCTTTTTCTGAGGTCCTGGATCATCTTCACTATCATTATTCTGAATTCTTTTTCTAGAAGGTTGCCTATCTCCACTTCATTTAGTTGTTTTTCTGGGGTTTTATCTTGTTCCTTCATGTGGTACAAAGTTCTCTGCCTTTTCATTTTGTCTATCTTTCTGTGGATGTGGTTTTCCTTCCACAGGCTGCAGAACTGTAGTTCTCTTGCTTCTGCTCTCTCATCTCACAGTTTCTGTGGATTAGGATTCCAAGTACAGCTTATCTAGTCCTGCTTAGGGTCTCACAAAGCTGCAGTGAGAATGTTGACTGAGTTGTATTCTCATCTGGAGGCTTAGCTGGGGAAGTATCTGCCTCCAGACTTCCTTAGGTTGTTGGCAGGATTCACATCCTTGTAACTGTGAGCCTGAGGGCCCCAGATTCTTTTGGCTGCTGTCAGCTCCTAGAGGCTCCCTGCAGTTTCCTGTCATGTGGACTCTTCCAGCCTGGATGCTTACTTCGTCAGGCCCGAGAGGAGACTGTACCGTGAATTTACTGGCAAGACAGAGTCCTGTGTGACCTGAGGTCATCGTGGGAGTGACATCCCATCACCTTTGCCATATTCCCTTGGTGAGAAGCAAGTCACAGGCCCCACTCACACTGAGGGGGAAGGGATTGCACAAGGAGGTGAACACCAGGAGGCAGGGATCATAGGAGGACCGCCTTTAGTCTGTCTGCTCCATCCTTCTGTTGCTTTTCCCTATAGTTTTACAACCTGTGTGTGCATTACTAAAGAATATCCTGTTTGTGTACTTTGTTTAAATGGAATCTTACTGTAGTTATTCCAGTTTGCTTTTTAACTTAACATTGTGAGGTAAATTTATGTTGATGCTTATCCTGTAGTTCATTTATTGTTCACGGCTGCATTGTATTTCATTATAGAAATATTTATCCATTTTCCTTTCAATATGTATTTCGGCTGCTTTCCTTTTGTGGAAATCGAAACAATGCTACATTGAATATTTTTGTACATCTTCCTTGTGCACGTTTGCAAAAAATTCAAGGTAATATGCCCACAGTGGAATTGCCTGTGTGTATCTTCAGCTTAACTGGATAATTCCAAATTGTCTTCCAAAGTAGTTCTGACCTACACTCCCAGCAGCAGTGTTTAACAGTGCCAGTTATTCCGCGTCCTCTCCAAAATTTGGTATTGTCAGACTTTTAATTTTTGCTAATCAGATGGGTATGATATAGTGTTTTGTTATGGTTTCAATGTACATTTTCCTTATTACTCTTTTAACATGTTTAGTGGTCATTTTTGTTTTCGCTTATGAAGGTATCTCTTTGGGTCATTTGCATAATTTTCTGTTGTACAATATATACTTTTTAATATTGGCTTTTATATATTCTGTATATTTTGTATATTCTTCTGTGTATTCTGAATACTAATTCCTTGTCATTTTTAAGTTTTGCAAATTCCTTCCTCAGTTTGGGACTTGTCACACTTCTTATTTAGTGTCTTTCAGTAGACAGTAGTTCTTAATTTTAATGTACTTGAATTCATCAGTCTTTCCCATTATGGGTTTTATTTTTTGTAACTTGTTTAAGAAAATTAAAATTATGACTACACTGAAGACACAAAATTTTCTGTTTTCTTCTAAAGTTTAATGTTTGCCTTTCATGTTTAAATGTTTAAGTCAGTGTTTGTATTATATATGGTATGAAGAAGGGATCTAATTTGATTTTTGTCCGCATACAAATAACCAGTTGTTCCAACACCATTAATTGAATAATTCTATCTTTACCCACTAATCCTCTTTGTCAATTCTGTAATAAATCAAATTTCACATGTACATTGGTCTGTTTCTGGAGTATTAGACTTCATCTTTTCTGTTTGTCTGTCACTGTCTCTATTCAGTGTTGTCTTCTTTTCTACATGTTTTGACATCTAAAAGGCCAAATTCCTCTACCTTGTTTTTCTTCGTATCTCGTTTATTCCTAACTCTCTACTCTTCTCTATAAACTTTACAGTCATCTTGTCAGGTTCCATGAAAAGTCCTGTGGAGGCTTTGGTATTGATTTAAATCAGTACATGTATGGCACTCGTCAGCATTTTGCAATGCTGAATCTTTCTATCCATGAATGTATTAGGTATAGCTCTTCACTTATTTAGGTCATTTTAAATGTTTTTATTAAAGTTTTATCATTTACTCTATAAAAATCTTTAATCACTTTTGTTACTAATTCCTAGCTCTCTTATATTTTGTTAATATTGTAAAAGTTACTGTTTTAAAAATATATATTTTTTCTGTTGCTGATTTATAGACATACAGTTAATTAAGTTTTGTATATTGGTCTGTGGCCATCTTGCTAAATTGTCTTAGTAATAATAATTTATCTGTAGTTTGCTTTAAGTGAATGATCATACTGTCTATGAATAATTCTGTTTCTTCCAATTTGATCCTTGTATTTTAAATTTCTTCCACCCCATCTTTAGAGCTCCCCTACAGAGTTGTCCCTGAGTCAGAACATGTACATTTAAATGTATCAGGTGCCTGAAAGGTCATCATTTTCATGAAGTTTCCAGGTCTACCCTAACACATTATCTTCTCCCTCCTCTGAGATTTCATGAATTTACTTGCCTGTACTGCTTTTGTGTCACTCACTCTAGGTTTGCAGTGGTAATTATCTTTGTATATGTTATGTCTCCGACGTTTTATTCTCCTCCTGGCACTGGCACAGTGCCTTGGGCCTTTCGGTATCAAAGATAAGTTGGTTCCTTGGTTGAAATGCTTTCAGGGCACTTGCATTTGTATGGAGGTCACTGAATAATTCGAGACAATATCTTGAATAATTTGAGACAGTATCTCCATAAGAATAAATGTGATGTAGGGGGAGTTCATACATCTCTTATCCCTGTAGCATATCCTTGCATGTGAGTGTGCTGTGTCTTCTCATGAGTCCCTAATATTTCACAGCATGCTCTCTTCCAGATGAACAGTGTAGGATATAATATCAATAGCAGTTGTTCGGCCATTACATGGCATGTTTATTACGTCTAACTGCTCTTTCAGAGTTACTCATTTTCATCTTGCTCAGCATTAGCACCAGCCCTTGTTGAATGCTTAAAGGATGTTATAATAAGATTATAATTGACATGACATTATAATAATATTATTACGATTTTAAGTGGTAATAGTAATAATGAGCGTTGAAATAATAGCATAGTGGTCACCAGAACTGGTGTTTGACATGGTTCATGTAAATACTAGCAAAGGGCTATGGGGATTTTTGTTTGTTAATGTGGTGCTACCGGGTCACAACAGAATTTATATTACTTAGCCATAAAGCTTATGATTATGTGGAATTCTTGACAATTTTTGAATATTTGAGAGGTTTCACTATTTCAGAATTTATTCATAAACTGAGACTTATTTTTGTATCATGCCGTTTCAGATTTACATGTTTCAGGTTTACATGCAATATGACTGCCCTATATCTTACTTTTGAATAAAGTAACTTTGTAGGTATTAACTAATCTTTTCATTTGATGCCTTCTAACTTTTCTTCCTTTATTTATTTTATTTTTTTGCCTAGGTGCCGTTAGGCTTCTCAGCTCCATTAGATGACCTTCCCCCGGTCCCCCACATGGCATGCTGTACCCTGGAAAACCTGTATCTTCTGATGGGAAGGGAACTGGAAGATCTAGAGAAGGTACCTCCAGGAAATGTGCTAGGTAGGGTGGTGCTATCTATTATATCTGTAGTCCGTTCTGAGAGATTACCCGTCATACAAACTAAGTGAAGTCTTCAAAGGAAATGGCTTTGACCTCGTTTTTGGTTTGTTTATTTTTGTCCAGTGTCCTTAGGCTTTAACTTAGTGCATTTGAGTAATTAGCATGCATAACAATAGCTTGCTGTAAATTATGGTAGTTCTACTTTAAAAAAAGTAATCTGTGAATGCTCTGTCCTAAGCTGGGGTTCTATTTGTTTGGGAGCAAGAAGGAGAATTCCTGCTCACATTAAAGTCAGTCTAGATGAACAAGACACTTCTGGTTCTAAATTATCAGAAACTATTCTGATGTAGAGGTCTATTTTCTCGCAATATTTTTTATCCATTGAATGTTGCTTTATATTATATATCCGTAAGTACTCCTCCTTATCTCCATAATGTTTATTACTTGCTTGGCTTCTGCTCTTTGTGTGCAGAATTCACATTTTAAGGTCCTTAGTGCAATCCTAAAGACTTAGCCTAAGGAATTTCCCTTGGATCATCACAGGAACCTGAGTGTGTTGTGGAATGTTGTATCCCATTCTGAACCCTTAGGGTCCTTGTCAGCTATAGAGCTATTTATTGGGTGATTGCTTGGGCTGGGGATTCTTTTTATGTTTTAGAGAAATGATCTAGACTACTGGTCCAGAACAGCTGGATTTTGTCCACTTCAGTCCAGGAAATATGCCAAAGCATTTTGACGCTCCCTTGCTGAGACACATTCTTTCTTAAATTTTTTCATTCCTTTTTTGTTGTTGTTTTGTGCTTTTGGTATGAAATTAGTAGAATTCCTAGCTTCTCATCAGTATTACCCATTCTTTTCACCCCTTTGGAAAATGCTATTGAACCTTAACAATTGATATAACTTTATGAGCTTCCGTAGCCAGAAAAATATTTTATCAGGAAGGACATGGGAAGATGAATGGAAAACACCCTAGTTTTGTTTATAAGCCTTCCTTGGGATTACTGTATTTCTCTTGATTCAATTAATTTTGTTTCTTAAATGGAAGGTGAGGTGGAAGATCTCTTAACACAATGTTCAAGTGAAAGAAAAGGTATTGAATAAAGGGTTGAGTGAATGGTTTTTATAATATCCCCTCCAGTTAAGGCTCATTGTTTGTGCTCTTTCTCCAGGAGAGGTTAGGAACTTGACATGCAATAGTTCTGGTTTCCTTCTTTCTGTTTCTAGATTTCCATATGCTGTTCAGGACTGAGGTCAGCTAGGTTATAAGTAGGGAAACCATCTCTCTTTCATCTGCCTCCTAAGGCAGCCCTTAACGCTGCCATCTGCTACAGGAGACCTACTACAAGTTAAAACTGTCTTCGTCTTGGAGAAAAGAGACATGCCTCATTCTCTTTTACTGATCTTTTAAAACATTTTGAGGGGCTTCCCTGGTGGCGCAGTGGTTGAGAGTCCGCCTGCCGATGCAGGGGACACGGGTTTGTGCCCCGGTCCGGGAAGATCCCACATGCCGCAGAGCGGCTGGGCCCGTGAGCCATGGCTGCTGAGCCTGCGTGTCCGGGGCCTGTGCTCCGCAACGGGAGAGGCCACAACAGTGAGAGGCCCACGTACCGCAAAAAAAAAAAAAAAATTTGGGGGTGGTGCTACGAACTAGGGTGGTGGAGGTGATTAAACATTCATTTACCAAATTCAGTGATAAAAAAATAACATAGATGGACACCCAACTTTGGGACAAAATGGATTAAGGAGAAAAGCCAGATTTATTTTGTTTAAGAATTAAGATTGTATTTAGCTGCAGGTAACCAAAAAACCAACTGCATAGTCTTAAACTTCACTCAGTAGGAAGCTTAAGATAGAGGACAGAGAGTTGAGGGCTGATGAGATGGTTCTCCTATGTCATCAGGGATCCAGGTTCCTTGTCTTTGCCTGTTTGCAATCCTCAGCGTGTGGCTTTTGTCCCCATGGAACCAAGATGGCTCCTGCATCTCCAGGAATCACATCAACATTCCTGGCAGGAAGAGGGCACAAGGGCCAAAGGCCTTCTCATAGCACTGATGTTTTTATTTGGGAAGAAATGCCCTCTTAGTGACCAATGTATATATCCTCATTTCTTTGTAATTTTGTCATATGATCACCCCTAGCTGCAATGGAGGCCAAGGATTGAGTCTCTTATAGTCTCTACAATTAAGGCAAGAGATATTGGGGTTGTGAATGGCTTTTGAATAGCCAGTCCATACTGTCAGCCACATCTCCTCCACATTGCCCTGGTGTTGCCTGAGGCCCCTTCATTAAGGTTCTGTTTCTTTACATTAAGGAGGAAGATAGTCTTCCAGAATGATTATAAATGTAACATTGAAGGGGTTGGAATCCAGCCAACCACTTTGACTTACCTTCTGAATTGAAGCAGATAGTAATTGTTTTCCTTCTATTAATCCAAATCTAATGGAGCCCCATGCCTGACTAGAGAACATGAGTATACCAAAATTCTGGTCATAGTTTTGCCACTAACTAGTTATATGGCCTCAGGCCAACTGTATAACCTTTCTGGTCCTCAGTTTTGCCACATGATTTGGGCTAGAGTAATTTTTACCAACATTTCTAATAGTAAAAATAGAACAGCTACTTTAATTTCTTTTTCTTAGAAGACTATTTATGGACTCCCAGGGCTTCTTTTGTTATATTTATCATACATTCTAAACTTTAAGGACAGAACATTAAATAGCATCGTATGGATACATTTTATTGCGGTAGCTGTAAAATATAAACAAAATCATATTTTGTACATCTTGTTTGTAAAATACATGCATACAAATGTAAAAATAAAGTACAAACAAAATTCAAGTTTAAAATTGCCATTATATTATGGCAGGTTGACATTTCAGTGAGGATGGAGTAAGATACAAATTCTTAGTACTTTTGTCATGAAAATCTTCCCTGGTTTATGTCAGTATACCACTGGTTGAAAAAGTCCCGAACTAGATTATCTCCAGGGTTCCCTCAGGCTTTAACTTTTCAGACTTGTGTTTTTTAGAGAAAAATCTTATTTTAGTTATTAGGATATTTCCCTTCCTAGTATTTCTTAGAAGGAACAGTACATTTTTGATATGGTTACTTGGTTGGGTTGAGAACCCATTTCAATAGCTCTATCAGAACATCTTGAACTCGTTACTAGCCTGAGAGTCAGAATTACCTTTTGTAAGGCAAATTTCATTTGTTTATTGATTAAAAAACTGGAGCATATGTAGCAGTAGTAGCAGTTTCATAAGCCAGGTGTTTAATAAAAGCAACCTTTCAAAGCTAGGAGTAAGTTTAAGGCAGGACAGAGGAAAAGGCCAAGAATTCTGGTATGTTAAGAGGTGAGCAGCAAACAGAACAAGAGAAAGCTAATTGCCAGCAGGGGTAACACATGCTGGGATTCTAGCTCTCAAGTTTCTATGTCAGCACTGTTGTTGTTTACTTAAAACAGGTTTGTCTTCCTGTGGCAGGGGTTGGGCAGGGGGTGAATGGAAAGAATAAGTTGAGTGGCTGAAGGTGATTGAATTAATCTACATGTTCCAATTATCTGTTGCTGCATAATAAACCACCCAAAGCCTAGTGGCTTAAAACAAAGGCACTTGTAAATTTTTCATGAATCTGCAGTTTGGACATGGTTTGGTGGGACAGCTTGTCTCTGTGCCACATGGTATCGGTTGAAGTGCTCAAAGCCTGGGCGCTACAGTTATGTGAAGGCTCTTTTCACTCACTTGTCTGCTGTTTGATGCTGGTTGTCGGCTGGGACCTTTTCTGGAAGTGGAACTGGGGCTGGAGCATGTGGCCGCCTGGCTTCCTCACAGCATGGTGGCTGGGTTCTGCAGGTGAGCATCCCAATAGGGAGAGCCAGGAGGGAGCTGTATCAGCTTTTATGACCCAGCTTCTAAAGCCTTCAGTCTCATTTCCGCCACATTCTCTTTATTAAGAAGTGAGAGTCGCTAAGACTGGTGCATATCAAGGAGAGGGCACTAACTCCACCTTTGATGGGAGATATGTCAAGGAATTTGTGGACATGTTTTCAGATGACCACACCACTAATCATAGATAATTTCTTGTTTCCTTTTGTATTTTAGCAGGCCCGTGGTAGGACACATATTGCAAATTAAGACATAGCGATTTTCATCGTGATCAGGCAGGCCTGTAAACTTCTTTTTTACTCTTCCTAACTTAGATAAAAAGTTACAATTCTCATTTTAATAAGAAAATAGTAGAGTGATATGACCAATACCCATATGCTTTTCATCAGAAACGATACCAAGTCAGATTTATCAGGTGCAGATGAAAATTTTTGTTGGAGAGGGAAATGAAAACATTATATTGGCATTCTTGAACAAGTCAGTGTATATAGTCAAAGTCTAAAGGAAAGTTCCTTTATTGGCACTTGAAAAATGCAGATTTCACACTTGAACTCAGCTATAACTCACTTGGAATGCTTACACCGACTAAGTGTGGTTAGATTTTATGGTCTGGAAATAGTCAATTTAAAGTTTAAAATCATTTAATTCCAACCTGATGTTTGAAAAGTTGGTATAGATGGGACCAGAGAAACCTTACTGTGTTGAACACACAATAGTCTTTTGTTCAGTTCTCTACTAAGAATTTCTCTAAAAATAAATGTTTGCTACAGGCTCCTATTAAAATGTGAGGGGAAATTGAATTAGGATTCCAAATCTTTAGCCTTTTCTTACACACTTTTAGATCTCTTCCATATGGTTAAATCTTTAAAAATTTCAGGGGCATATTCTAAGAGGAAACATGATATTGCTCTTTTTGCAACATGAAGAAAATAATAAATATTAATTAGCCTTTTCCTGAAATGGTTTTAGTTTTGCCATGGTTGGTTGCTGGGTTGATAGGAAATCAGTGTGGATTAAATGGAGAGAGTGTATGTGTTCTCCTTAGTCATGTGGGGTGACTGAAGAGGCAGAAGCCATTGAAGGGTTTTACTAGCAGATTTGATTTGATTATTTCAA